CGAAGTCCAGAGAAGCCGCGGGGACAGTTGGGGGGGGGTAGAAGGAATCACAGCCGCCGGCCTCCAATTGGGTGGGTGGGTGGATGGGGGAGGGAAATCGGGCCACGGCGAGGGGCGCATTGCCGCCACCACCGCACCGTTCACACACAGCGTTCGCCTCCCGCCTCCCAGCCAATGGCATTGGCAGCAGCCTTGAGCGGCAGCTGGCCGGCCAATGGCTGACGGAGCGCATTTTGTCTCCGCTGAGTCTTACGCTGCGTCTTACTCAGTTATATATAAGGGAGAGAGATATATTTGCCATCAAGTCGCAGCCAACTTATGGCAGCCCGGTGGGGTTCTCAAGGCAAAAGACTTTCAGGGGTGGTTTGCCATTGCTTGCCTCTGCATAGCGACCCTGCTATTCCTTGGTGGTCTCCCATCCAAATACTAAACAGGGCTGACCCTACTTTGCTTCCAAGAGAGTTAGAGGGCTTTAAAAGGGGATCAGATAGATATTCACAAACAGCGATGAGCCTAAATGGAACCTCCATGTTGAGAGGCAATCTACCTCCAAGTGACCGGTGCAGGAGCGAGAAGCTTTGGCTTTTGTGCTCTTGCTTGTGGGCTTTCTGCAGTACCTGACTGGCCATTGTGAGAAACAGGATGCTGGAACAGAGGGCCCGATCCAGTAGGGTGGGTATGGGGGAATGAACTTCCCTAGCAATAATCAGAATTGGGGAGGCGGGGAAACAGGTACTTTGTAGCAGGGCTTTTTTTGTAGAAAAAGCCCAGCAGGAACTTATTAGCATAACAGGCCACACCCAACAGCAGAAACTCATTAGCATATTAGGCCACACCCCAACAGGACAGTTTATTTGCATATTAGGCCACACCCCCATGCCTTCCCTTGGCTTGCCTGGGCGCCCCTTGGACAGGCCAGGGAAGGCACGTGGAGGCATTTAAATGCTTCCCCAATCCGTCCAGGCCCCCCCCCAGCCCACCCACCTCAGAGTCGCCGGGTTTTTTTTTCCACTCTCCAGGCCTTCCCTCTGTAGCCATGCACGCAGAGGGTATGGCTGTAGTGGGCGTGGCCAACTCTGCATCCAGCCGGGAGCTGGCTTATGGTGACCCCACGGGGTTTCCAAGGCAAGAGACGTTCAGAGGTGGCTTGCCACTGTCTGCCTCCGCATCGTGACCCTGGTATTCCTGGGTGGTCTCCCATCTAAATAGTGACCCGGCTCAGCTTCCGACAGCTGACATGATCGGCCTAGCATGGGCCATCCAAGTCAGGTAAGCATCCACAACTGCTCTTTTACACAACCCTCTCTGTCTTCAAAAACCAAAGCCTCGCCTTCACTTACCACAGTGGCGTTCACACTTCACCCTACCTGCAGAGAGAAGAGAGATTTATTTTGGGGGGGAAGCTGACTCCATGGGATCATTGGAAAACAACAACAGAGGATTGAAATTACGTTTGCTAACATGTAATTACAGTTATAGGTTTAAAAAAAACATAGGGGTTGATAACCACCCCCACACACTTAATTGTCAGTTTAAATAGATCTCAGTTACTGTAAAGAAAAAGAAAAAGAGATTGGATTTGTACCCCGCCCTTCACTACCCGAAGGCGTCTCAGAGCGGCTAATAATCTCCTTTCCCTCCCCCTCCCCACAACAGACACCCTGTAAGGTAGGTGGGGCTGAGAGGGCTTTTTCAAGGACTGCTCTTGAGAGAATAGCTCCAAGAGAACTTGTGACTGACCCAAGGTCACACCAGCAGCTGCATGTGGAGGAGTGGGGAATCAAACCTGGTTCTCCCAGATTAGAGTCTGCGCTCCTCACATTCAGAGACTTTAGAAACTGCGGCGAAAGTAAACAATCGATAAAAGATGGCGGGGAAGAGGACGGAAAAGGAGAAACTTTTAAAAGTGAAAGGGGAGAGTCCAAAACCAGAAGGAACCACCGAGCTGGCTAAAATGTTGGCAGAATCTCTGCGCCCCCTGCTGGAACAGATGACTAACGTCAAGGAACAGTTGTCTACAATGACCAAATGTTATCACCACCCAGCAAGCACAAGTGAATGAGACCCTTAAAATTACAGAGCAAACAGCTGAGAAGGTGAAAGAAGTCGACGCCACTACTCAAAAGGTGAAGAAAAAGGTACAAAAATTGGAAAAGAAGCAAGTCTCCACAGAAGAACAACTTTTACAGCTGCAAATGGAGAAGGCAAACTTGGTTCTCTGATTCCAGGGTGTCCCAGAATCTAAAGGAGAGAATCTGAAGCAAATGCTGAGCGAAGCATTAGCCCCGGTGACAAATTTGACGGCGGAGTACTTGATGAGCGAAATGGATGTGGCCTATAGGTCATATTCCGCATATATAAAAAAGAATAATCTGCCTGGGGAAATAGTAATGAGATTCTCAAAGAGATATGTGAGGGGTACTATTCTGAGAGCGACGACAGGGACAACCTTGAAAATC